AAAGATTTTCCGATCTTGATAGGTGGATTTGAACCTAGAGGGGAATCTCGGTGCAGAGTATCCAAAGCACGACGAATATTTTCTTTTAGAAATTCTCCTAGGGAAATGGGGTGGGGACGAAACGATTATGAGCGAATGGGTGGGGTTGCTTGAACCCACAGGACAAGAGAATTCCGGTTGACCACTTCTGCCCCACCATATAGCATAACATCTTTTCTGTTTCGGTGCTTATATTTTTCATAACTTTATATGTTTTTTCCTACAATTTTGGATGGTTGTGCATTTAAGGTCATCACGCTGTGCTACAGCTTCGCCGAAAAGATGGGGCCAGGTTTTTCCGCAACACTATCCATTTCTTCGCTATTCAAGGCCCATTATCTCGTCAGCATTAGTTGGTGATAACAATTCCGCAACGTACCTGCGTACTGGAAATGGCAGAGGATGCGTTTTTTGTGGGAGCTTTCCATTTAGGACAACTGTCACTCTACGTTCTGATAGACAAACAAGTGGTCAACACCGATATAGTAACACAGTAATGTTACATAATCGTTACCTTCTTCCGTTACATTTGTCCAGGAAAACCCGATTTCACGTTCTGCGGTTTGTCTGCTTCCATAGTTTACCACCAGAAAAGAGAAATTGGATAGTTGTCGCGCGCACTTGATAGTTGTCTCATGGCATCTGCAGTAGATTTGAACGGTGGTGGAGATCTGCTATGCCACCATTCATATCTAGAAGAATATCATATAAATATTCTCCAGCTTCTCTCTTCTTGTAACCTCGGCATGTTAGTTTTCAATAATTTAGTGTTATATTGTGCCTCACGAGGTTTTTAGGTGGAACTATTTATTTAACGGCCTGACGTTTCGACTAATCGTCTTCTTCAGAGGCCTAAAAGTGTTTCGAGATTAAGAGATGTGCACTACCCCGCCAAGCGCCTAATCCACCCCAGCATTTCCGATGACATAGTGAAACTCAACCGAGAATCTCACACAACAGAACACGAAGGCGCTCACCTTTGTTCCACCGTAGACGCGGAAATCCGCTATTCCATAAGTCAACCAGTAGCGAATGAGACTCACTGCATATAGCGTCTCCTTATACGTATCGAAACGCCGAGATGCACGTATCACTGGTGACTTTATAGCTCGCAATACGGAATGAACGACAGGAGGTCATTGGAAATTGACGGACGCTCGTCTCGGTTGTTCATGCGAGGATTTCTGACAGAAATCCAAAACGCCTCTAATGCCTTCCTAGCCGTAATATCCGTCTCCTGCGCCAATATTGTGCACTTTAAATGTCCTAAATGGAAAGCTCCCACAAAAAACGCATCCTCTGCCATTTCCAGTACGTTGCGGAATTGTTATCACCAACTAATGCTGACGAGATAATGGGCCTTGAATAGCGAAGAAATGGATAGTGTTGCGGAAAAACCTGGCCCCATCTTTTCGGCGAAGCTGTAGCACAGCGTGATGACCTTAAATGCACAACCATCCAAAATTGTAGGAAAAACATATCATATAAATGTTTAAAAACCGTGGTAGCGACGATTTGATCGAAACATTGAGCAATAAATGGCTCCATCATAACAGACCTTAGGCATAAAAAGCAGATTCAACGCCAAAGTCTCAACGAAACGGAACCTGTAAGGTTCTTACGACCCCCTTCGTTGTGAATTCCATAACGGATAGTCTGCCGTGTTGCTGTACGTTTGTGTACTTTTATTTTGTTTTCGTCCTACTATTCCCTTTGCCCTGTAGCAACAACCCCACACTATTCTCTCTTAAATTCAGCCAATTTCTTCGCCTAATTGGTATCGATCTTTCACCCTTGTTCGGCTGTTAAAAGAAGTTTTACGTTACAGTTAGAAGCGGCCCACCAATGGCTGCCTATGCGTTGGGGCCCAAGTCGGTTGATTTCGACAAAGTATGGGGTAACCTACAACCATCTGTGATCGAAATCATGAATCTTCATCCGATGACGAAGAAGGACTGGGATGACAAGTTTCAGTGAGTTTTGTTACTTAACTTTCATT